TGAACGGATACTGCATTATTGCATATCCCAGCTTCTCTTTGGGTTTGTGTAGCTGTGTGTGAAGTCTACCTCGTTGCAGTATGTGAGCTACACTGCACTCCCCTACAGATGTGCAGAGTAAACTGTGTTGTAGTTTTTGGCACATAATAAACACGTTGCTGCAGAGGCAAAAAACAAACCAAAACTGCTATTGTTTAGGTACTGACTCGATGACACCTAACAATAACTGTTCACATGAGAAACCAGGGATGGATTGCCCAATAAGTAAGGTAAGCATGGGCTTACTTCTGCTTGCTTACTAATCTGTAGTGAATAATTTCACATCAAAGATTCTGCTTCTAGATATGGTTGGTATATTTGTCTCTCTTCAAACCCTGCAGCACCTTCCTACAGAATCAAAGCCTCTTTTCAGATTTACAGTCCTTCACAGGTACACCGGAAGACAGCTAAGCATAGGCTTACTTGTATTTATTTACTAATGTGTAGTAAGCAGGAACCTTGCTGTGGTGCATGGAATAAAGCACTGGACTTAAAGGTCATTTGAATTGCAAGGTCGGCAGTTCAAACTCACCATTCGCTCCTTGGAAACCCTATATAGGGTGGCTATTAGAACCAACTCTATGGCATTTAACAACTCTGCTTTTCAAACATTTGAAGATGGGTTACAATGAAGGTTGCTTGAATCCAATGACCATAATGATGATGTCATTAATTTCCAGAAAAAACAAGACCCATGACCATGAAGAGGAGAAAGCAGTGAGTGGGTGTTTTCAGATGAGGCAGCTTGCCTTGAAGTCAGAGGAAGACAGACACAGTACTTGTGGATTCGAATCTGTTGCTGACTGGTATGATTTGGTGCGGGAAGGACTCTAGAACAAATCTCAGGGATTTGTCTTGAGAGGTATTTTATTGAAGACTAATTACGAGAAACGGGGAGTTCAGAAATAATGCCAAGTTCTCATTCCACGGGCCAGTCCCTCAAGAGGAAAACTACCATGTTACATAAAATTGTCTTTTCTCTTTAGTTAATTATGCACACTGCGGCAGAAATTGCTCTTCGTGAAGTTGGCCCGAGCAAGTAAAAGATTGGGGGGTAGGGGAAAAGAGGCGGTGATGATGAAACTACCATAAATTAATTTTTTTCCAAACCAGTGCTCGTTTTACAGAGTGACCAAAGGTAGAAGGGTAGTCGCCTTGACTTATCCGACTCTAGCCTTTTGGGATCTCCAGTTCAACTACGCCCGTTTGTAATCCACCCAGAGATCCAAGTTTTGTTCCTTTCTACTTCCCATTGGCTCAGGCCATGGAGACCCCGCCTTCTTCCGCGGCCATCGGAGCTTTCCGCGAGAAGGCGGTGCTTTGTGACGCACGCGCTGTCGTCTCCAGGCAGTATAAAAGGCCTCGTAGGCGTGGCCTCCTTTAGGAGCCGCCGGCAAGGGGGCGTCGAGGAAGCTAACTAGAGCAGAACCGGAAAGCAAGAAGGTGGGGCGAGTCTGGAGCAAAGGCTCAGCCTTTAACCGCGCAGGCAGTTAGTCTTTCACTCGGGGCGTCTCGCGCGGGTGGGAGAGGCCGAAAAGACGGAGGATGCCCAGAGTAGGTGGGCTGGGCCCCGCCCCACTTTAGCGAGCATGGCAATCAGTCGGCCCACGCCGAGTGGCGGAGCTTCGCTGGTGAGGCCTCGGCGGATCCAGCACCTACCTCCCCTAATCAAGTGGACGTGAAGTCGGCCATGCCAGCTTTCCGAAAAATGAAACCAAACGGCCCAACTGGCTCAGGCGTACAACGGTACCCACAAACGCCAGCGTTTAGGCCTTTGGGAGCCAGTGATGTGTGCCATTTACGTTTTTGTGGCTCTACTGGTGTGGCGCTGTAGGATACTCACTGGACGGCAAAGTCGGTTTGAACCGCAAGGTTGGCGGTTGTAACTCAACAGCCCCCTCCTCGGAAACCCTGTAGGGCCCCTGAGTGGAACCGACTCAATGGCACTTAACCACAACCACGAAGTCCGACTGGCATCCACAGCCACAGGCAACGTTTTTTATCCTAAAGCATTACCCCTGTGGTAGTGGATAAATGAAAGCTTGGGGGTGGGGGTAGGAAAATTTCAGTTAGTTTTGACAAGTTATTTTAAAGGAAAGATTTAGAGTTATTTAGCTGTCCCCCACTTCTAAATATCCCTTAGTGTATGAAATATTTTGCCCGTTGACTTGGTTAAGTATAGTTGGTATGCCCGTATTTCTTAACCTGAATATGAGATTTTGTTATATGCAGCTGAACAGGAGAATGATCAGCATCCCTGGTCCTAGGACACTAACTGGCCCTAAAACAACAAGTGCCCTCAGATAATCAGAATAACAGGGGAGCCACTTTCAAAAATCAAAAGCGTGACCTGACTACTCACACACTAGAGTGGAAAGGATGTGATTAAAAGCATGTATATATGGTGGTGGCTGTGTACCACCCACTCCGTTCCAACTCATAGCCACCCTGTATATGGTTTCCAAGGCTGTACGTCCTTAGGAAGCAGAAAGTCTCATCTTGTTTCCGTGGAGTGACTGGTAGATTCGAATTGCTGACCTTACAGTCAGTAGCCTTAAGTTGTAGCCCACTATTGCTATCAGCCCTCTATATATAAGGGGGCTTCCAAAAAAATTATGGAAAAATGGAGTGAAAAAGTCATGGATTTCTCCCACAAACATTTTGAAGCCCCTTGTATAATATATCAAATATCATATATATTTATACACATATACATATACACCTAATTGCTGCCCACATTTAGCAACACAGCATTACTGGTTTTTAAATGATGATTTAACTCAGTAAAGGTCCTCCTGAGTATTCTGATAGTAACTTTTCATTAAGGGACTCAGTATAATTTATTTTCTAAGGGTTTGCTTTGGTCAACACATAACTCTTTTTTTTTTTTTTCCCCCCCTGACCTTTATTTAGGTAGATGAAATATGTTTTTAAATACTCAGCATTTTTTCTATGGCATTCATTGCCTTGTATTAGAGGTTGGACCCTTTTATAATTGCTGTAACTAAACTGTACCACCAGCCCCATGAAACTCATTATTCTATTTACTGTAGGGATGTTGTTGAGGACATGGTTCATTATATCACCACCATGGGCCCCATGGGGGCAATGTCTCCTGGGTCTCGGTGTCCAGAATAGCTGTGAGTCTTCCAAGCAACCTTTTTTTTTAAATCTCAGGAAACAGATTCAATTGTTTCATATTTTGTCATTTTTGTTTGATAGTTCAGGGACTGATATGACATCGATATTAAAGTAGGAGCTCTAGTTATGCAGTGGTTTAAGTGTTGGGCGGTTAACCGAAAGTTCATCAGTTCGAATCCAACAGCCATGTCACAGGACAACAATGAGGCAGTTTTGCTGTCTTGGAAACCATGTGGAGAAGTCCCATACTTCCTTATAGGGTCCCTGTGAGTTTGAATGGACTCAACCAATGGTTGTAGAGGTTTGGTTTCTCTTTTAATTGAAGTATTGTATTAGGTTTCTAACCTTACCATTTTTCCTAGCATAATGACTCCCTTACCCATGAACTGATTTTTTATTTAATTTGAACTGGTTAATTAATTTTGTTTTTTATGTGTATAAGCTTTTAAAAATTGTTCTTTAGAATGAGATACACATATATTGACACAGAGTGTAGGATGGTGACCTCTGCAATTTTCAGAACTTCAGACTGGGCTATACACTATCCTTGCTATGACATAAAAGCCAGAAAGGCAATGGAAGGTGGAGAAAGGGAAACATAAGGCAGATGTTAAGGGAGGATATGAGAAAAGAAGAAAGAGGGCATATGGTGGTGGGTGGTAAGCTAGCACTACAAATAATTTATATCTGGTTAATGGTGAAAACAAAAATTTAAACCTAAAGAAAATAAGTATTCTTAAAGTTGAACAATGTGTCCAAGGGTCTATTTAGAAAAGGAGGGGCAAAGATGTTTTCATGTAGAAACACTGTACTGTTTCCAAACCCATGTGGTTTCAAAGGACTTTGTTTAGAAATAGATAAGGTAGCTTAATTTTTTTTTTTTTTTTGCAAGGATACCAGACACAATATTCATTACATTTTTTCAGAAATATGCTTTGTTTAGTTGATAATTTATTCTTGATTTTTATCATCATTCTGGGCTTTCCCCAAGTTTTCTTTAATAGTACTAGATTGCCCCCTCTGCACATGTTAAGTGCTGTCCAGTTGTTTCCGACTCATATTGACCCTGTATAGAGTTTCTGCAGAGTGATTGGTGGGTTTGAAATGCTAAACTTGCAGTTAGCAGTCCAGTGCTTATCCTACAGTGCCAGTGGGTTTGTTTCATTTTTAATAACAATCAAGAATTAGCTCATTTTACCAGAATACTAAAAACCAACACCATTGCCTTCAAGTCAGTTCTGACTCATGGTGACCATAAAGGGGTTTCCAAGGTTGTAATCTTAAAGGTGTCCTGGTATGGCACTGTAGGATAAACACTGTACCATAAGGTCAGTTTGAATCACAAAACTGATTATTTAAACTCACTAACCGCTCCTTGGAAACCCTACAACAGGGTCGCTATGGGTCAGAATTGACTTTATGAACCTAACAACAAGTATCTTGAAGGAAGTATCTTTTCCTGCAGAGCAGCTGGTGAGTTCAAACATGTGACTTTTCGGTTAGACCTCGAGCTCTTAACCACTGCACCACCAAGGCACCTTTTTTACCACTATTGTTAAGTACTATAGAGTTGGTTCCAATTCATAATGACCCTGTAAAGGGTTTCTGAGGAGCAGTTGGTGAGTTTGAACCACTGACCTTGCGGTTCAAATGGACTTTGCAGTGGAGTGCTTATTCTATATCGCCATACCAAGACTTCTTTTGCCAGTATAAATAACTAAAGCTAATAATTTTATAGGAAGTAAGTTTGTGTGTTATGCTGTTTATTTTAAGACTTTGTTTTTCTTTATTAGAGTTGTGATTACAGATACCCTGCCAAAATGATTTCTTCAAAGCCCAGACTTGTCGTACCCTATGGCCTCAAGACTCTACTCGAGGGAGTTAGCAGAGCCATTCTCAAAACCAATCCGCCAAATATCACCCAGTTTGCTGCAGTGTATTTTAAAGAACTTATTTTGTTTAGAGAAGGTTTGTTATCACTTTAAATTACATATTTGTTGCTTTGAGAAAGAATTTTGAATTGGAAACGTTTCTATATTTGATTCCTGCATTTATTTCTTCAGGAAACATTGCCATGGATATAAAAGAACTGGTTAAACAATTCCATCAGATAAAAGGTAAGTTACAAGTGATAGTTTTGAGGACACTTTAGTTGTAAAGTATTGCTTCTACTAGCTGTCTTCGTTATCTAGGTGAAGTGCTGCATACGTGGATGGATACCTTGAACAAATTTAGTCTCTCATAGCTTAGAAGGTTAGAAGTCCGAATTCAGATTGTTCAGAACAAGGCTTTCTATCTTTGCTGTCTCTAGAGAAAGGTCCTTGTCTGTAGGCCCAGCAGTCCTTGGAGTTCTCTATGTACTTTGGCATTCATCTTCCTCTGGATCTAGGAGCTTCACAGTTGCAGGGACCCCCGGTCTAAACGACACACTCCACTCTCAGGTCTTTGTTCTCGGTGATGGTAGGTCCTTCTGAGCTCTGCTTGCCTTTTCAATCTCAAGGTACAATCTAATCCTGTAGTTTGCTTCCAGGTTTATTGTTGTTGTTGTTGTTAAGTGCCTACTTATAGAAAAACAAAAGAAAAAGATAGGATTCAGTGAGATGTCAGCCACTTTTATACTCTGCCATTGTAACAGCAACGGTGAGAAGAAATCAGGAGTAAGTACTAGGTTTGGATTGTCAATGGAAACAGAAATGCAGTACAGAAAGCAGGATTAAAAAGAGCAAGGGTCAGCATTTGGAATGACATGAGAATGGTTCAGGAATATTCAGGAAGATTTTGTTGTCTGATCTGGCTGGTTCCCTGCAGGGTTCTGATGGCTTTCTCAGCCCTCCATGGGAAATAAGTCTGGAACTTGCTGAGCATCAGCAGGATGTACAGAAATAAGTGGAAGAACATTCATTACCCATCTGTGTTCTTCTCCCAGCCTTGACTCATGAGGCAGTCAAGGTTATTATGGTCTTTGTACTTGCGTTCGTTATACCAGGAGCTGTGTTTGAGAGGATTGTGAGTGTACAGGCCAGCTCTATTGGAGAATGGTAATAAAGTCAGTGACTCTTTACAATGGAAGGTAACTTAACTGGTAGTCTTTGAGCATAGTTTATTTAATGTTGAAGAATTCATCCACCATCCAACTGAGTAAATGGACTAAGCTAATGTGGATTTTGGTGAATATAGATTACTAACGTTGGATTTCAGAGGTCAAGGTTAATGAGTTGACTTACTAGAGCAGCCATACTTGTGATGGAAGCAAGGAGTTGGAGGTGCTGCTGTTTTCCTGCTTTATCAATCATGATGTCCTTCTCCAGGGACTGCTCCCTCCTGAGAACATATCCAAAGTATGAGAGACAAAGTCTCACCTCCTGATTTCTCTGGAGCATTCTGGTTGTACTTCTTCCAAGACAGATTTGTTTGGTCTTCTGGAACTTCATAGAACTTTCAGTATTCTTATTCAACACTATAATTCAAATGTATCCATTCTTCTATAGTCTTCCTTATGCCTTGTCCAACTTTCACCTGCATATGTTGTTGTTGTTAAGTGCCTGCGAGTCAGTTCCAAGCCATAGTGACCCTGTATAGGGTTTCCTAGGAAGTGGCTGGTGAGCTTGAACTGCCAAGCTTGAGGTTCAAATGATTTTGCAGTACAGCACATAAACTCACAGTGCCATGCCAGGACTCCTCACCTGCATATGAGGCTATTGAAAATACCATGGCTTGGTTCAGGCATACCTTAGTCCTCAAACTGATGGTTTTTGTTTGTTTTTTTAGGGGCCCCTGCCTGTCACTAAGTTCCCAGTTTGTGAGGACTCAACCCATTCACTATGCAAATAGGTCAGGCTGGATTACTCCCTCTGCTGAAACTGGCAGTGGGTCCTCCTAGGGCACTTGGGTGTGTGATTCACAAGTGGTCATCAGGGGTGACTGTTAGAGCTCCTCCCGCCTCCCTGCATCTCCCTCCCACAGAAGAACTCTGTCAGTGTATGTAGATCTTGTCCAAGACTGCTGCTGTGGGCAATGGTCAGGATCTGCATCCGCAGCCACCAGTAGTAGTAGTCCATGGGGTGGTGGCGGGTGTAGGGGGTGGTGGTGGTCAGGGCATGTGTGATGGTTTTGATGACCAGGGCTGTGTCCATATAGCCACTGCTGCAGTAGCACTCCATCTTGGCATTTGTCTCCTCAAAGTGCTTCCTGCCATAGTCCCTGCGCACCACCTCGGGTAGCTCGACCTACATCTTCTTGGCCATGTCTTGGATATTCTTAGGGGTGTGGAGGTTGGTGCCTGTGTTGAAGTTGCTGGATTCCACCATGCTGACCTTTACACCCAGTAGATGCATCTTATAGCACAGGCAGTTGGAGAAGGCCTCCACCCCGAACTTGGTGATGCAATACGGTGAGCGGGCTGGGTTGGCCATGCGGCCCAGCATGCTGCTGATGTTGACAATGCGGACTTTGGCCCTTAGGATGAGCGGGAGAAAGGATTTTGTTGTCTACACTGTCCCCCAGAGGTTCACTTCCACCACTGCCTTGTAGTTCTCCATGCTGGTGAACTCCACCTCCCCAAAGGTGGATATGCCCATGTTGTTCACCAGCCCCCACAGCCCTAAGTTGTCCCCATACCTCGGTGAAGCACCAGCTAAACAAATGGAAGGACGCAGCCCTCAGGCCCACCCCTATGATATTATTGTTGGTTCCTTTGCTGAGTCATTAGAGTCGGTCTCTCAAACTGACAGTTTTGCTTTTTAACATTTAAAAAGGGTCTTGTGTAGCATATTTACCTAATGCAGTATGTCCTTTGATTTCTTGACTGCTGTTTCCATGAGTGCTTCCATAGATCCAAGCACAATGAAGTCTTTGACAACTTCAGTCTTTTCTCCATTTATCACGATGCTATTTTTTGGCTCTGGTAGCGTAGTGGTTACGAATCGGGCTGTGAGCCTTAAGGTCAGCGGTTCGAAACTACCAGCCGCTCCGTGGGAGAAAGATGAGGCTTTCTACTCCCGTAAAGATTTACACCCTCGGAAACCCTGTACAGCGTTGCTATGGGTCAGAACTGACTCAACGGCACATAACAACAACAACAACATTTTTTGGTCCAGTTACAAAGACTTTTATTTCTTCTTTACATTGAGATGCAATCTCTTCTTGAGCTGCCCTTTCTGTTAGTCTTTCACCTTTTCGTTTCTTCCCTTTGCTTTAGCTTATTTACACTCAAGAGCAAATTTCAGAGCCTCTTTTGACATCCATTTTGGTCTTTTATTTCTTTCCTGTCTTTTTAACCTTTTGCTTTCTTCCTGTGTGATATTCCTGATTTCATCCCAGAACTCTTCAGGTCTTTGGTCCTTAGTGTCTAACACATCAAATCTATTTAGATGGTCTCTAAATTCAGGTGGGGTAAATTTAGGATCATATTTTGTTTTTGACTCCTGTTTTAATTTTCTTCAGCTTCGGCCTGAACTTGCCTATGAGCAATTGGTGGTCTGTTTGTTCCACAGTCAGCCCCTGACTTTGTTTTGGCTGATGATCTTATATTGAACTTTCCCACTGTCTCTTCTCATTGATGTGTAGTCCATTTGATTCCTGTGTATTCCATCTGGTGAGGTTCATGTGTATGCTTAAAAAAGGTATTTGTAATAAATAAGTCATTGATCTTGAATTCTATCATGCATCCTCCAGCATCAGTTCTGTCACCAAAGCTATATTCCAACTACTGACCCTTCCTCTTTGTTTCCAACCTTCACATGCCAATCACCAGTAATTATAATACATCTTGATTTTATATTTGATCAATTTCAGGCTGAAAAAGTTGGTAGGATTCGCCAACTTAATCATCACTGACTTTAGTGGTTGGTGTGTAAATTTGAAAAATAGTGGTATTAACTGGTCTGTTTCATAGGCACATGGATATTATCCTATCACAGATAGCATTGTGTTTCAAGATACATCTTTACTTATTCTTTTTGACAAAGAATGTGATGCTGTTCCTCTTCAGTTCATCATTCCTGGCAGAGCATACCATATGATTGTCACATTCAAAACTGGCCAATACCAGTCCATTTCAGCTTACTAATGCCTAGTATATCTATCTGTATGTGTTCCTTTTTTTTTTTTTTTCACAACTTCTAATATCCTAAATTCACACTTCATACTTTCCATGTTCTGATGATTAATGGATGTTTGCAGTTGTTTCTGCTCATTTTGAGTTGTGTCCCTTTAGCAAATGAAGTTCCCAAAAGCTTTATTCCATTAACGGATATGATCAACTCAACTTTGAGAAGGCAGCTCTTCCCCAGTCATATTTTGAGTGCCTTTCAAACTGAGGTACTCATCTTCTGGCACTCTATCTGACAATATTCTGTTTCTATTCATAATGTTTTCATCTTCTGGTACTATATTGAACAATGTTCTGCTACTATGCATAAGGTTTTCAGTGGCTAAACATTCGGAAGTAGCTTGCCTCTCCTTGTTCCTAGTCTGTTGTAGTCTGGATACTCCACTGAAATCTGTCCACCATCAGTGACCCTGCTGGTATTTAAAATACTGGTGGAATAACTTCCAGCATCACAGCAACACACAAGTCACCAAGTACGATGAATTGGCGTGCGAGTGATGGTGATTCATGGTACCTCTAATTATCTCTGCTCTCTCATTGACGCATTAGGGGAAAAAGAAATATAGTCTGCAATAACACAGTCAGTACTCAGTATTGAGTTCCCAAAGTCGATAATAAGAAGTCTGACACCTTGGGGTTTTGTAGGAACCTGTTTTTATTAAGAGAAAATATTTTCTTGGTTTTTCTAGAGCTGCAATTTACAATTAATAGCCAAAAGTTAATGTAATATTTTACTTTTTATTTAACCATAGAAGATAATCTGGGAAGATAGACTATAAAGTTAGGTCCTGCTTGGTGGGAGTAAAGGAAAGGGGAAAGTCCTTGATAATGAGGTTTTGGTTCTTGGGTGTGGGTACAGCTTAAAAAGTGCTGTCTGGGATAGAAACTGGGGATATGGAAGATAGGTAAAATCTATTACTGAATTTTCCTAAAACCTGTGTATAAGACTGGCTCTCTGTTTTCTTGGATGTTACCTAGAAGAATCCATGCCTGTCAAAAGTTGTATGG